GGAACGCCACTCGTCACCGATAAAGAGATAGAGAAAGCCGATAGAGAAAAGCCACCGATAGAGAAAGCCAGTGCAGCTCTAATTAACGATGGAAAACCCCTTCTGTTACAGACTGTGCGCACATCCTCTCAGGTCCACATATACAGGCGATGAGCCTTGAGATGCAGTACATCTCATGTCAGCTGTGTGGGAGTCAGCCATTCACACTCGGGTATTGGAACCACGTGTTTTTCAGGACTCTCTTAAATGCTGCTTCTTAAATTGAGGGAACCTGCAGCTTCTTCCCAGAGAGGGTGGTGAGGCATTGGAACAGGTTGCCCAGAGAAGCTGTGGATGCCCCATCCCTGGAAGTGTTCAAGGCCAGGCTGGATGAGGCTTGGAGCAACCTGGTCTAGTGGAAGTGTCCCTGCCCATGGCAGGGAGGTTGGAACTGGATGGTCTTTAAGGTTCCTTTCCAACCCAAACCATTCCGTGATTCTTCAGGCTGACCTTACAATAAAATCCTTGGGTCTGGCTACAGCTTCACAGCCTCAATCTTTCTGTTCCAATTAGTGCACTTCAGCCTCTACTCACCTTGGAAGTTAAAGATGACATTAAATGAAGATACAGATCTGCACAGGGATATACCTGCATTGTTACTGGCGAACAACTTAGGCTGCCCCTACACAGATCGGGGCTGGGGGGTAAAGAGTTGCTCCTAACATGCAGATACTGAGATGCTATTTTAGGGAGCAGACTACTAAATTCCACCTTCACTCAGCTAATATTAATTCAAGTCTTAATCCTTCTAGTCTATCACACCTCAGAGTTCAAAATTAAGCTTAAATACTTTTTAAAATAACTTAAATTTTAGAATCAACTGCATGCTGAAAGAAGGAATAAGCAGGGCTTATGGTTGATGAGAGGGAATGATGAAGGTAATGATGGTAAGGAAGGGACCAGACACCATGGAAGACCAGGGAGAAGGAGAGATGCTCTACTGCAACAGGCCTAGGGCAAACTGGAGTTGGAGGTGTGATTATCAGTACTGCACTCCTCTTTTTCATTTGATAGGAGCCTGATTTATCCATCCTTATGGTAAGCAAAACTATAGCAAAATTATTGAGATGATGCAAATTTAAACCTGGAAATACAAGGTAATCAGACAAGAACCTCTGTCTGGGACTTCTCAAGGAGGATGTGTGCCAGTGGCACCACGGTGGGGAGGAGATAAGCAGGACAAGCATGGCTGCAGCTGAGGCAGGGGATCAGATCGCCCTGTGCAATCATGGAACTGCTCAGCACCCCAGGCAGATTGCTGATGGCTGGGGGGAGGGTGTGTAAATCAGTAAATTAAAGAGCTACAGCACAGACTAATACAAATTAAAGTCTGTTGACTTTGGGTGATAACACTACACCCCGCCCCCAAGATATAACACAAACTTTCTGCATTTACAGACTGTGCTACAGTAGTCACACGTGAACTTTTTGTTCCTAAACCAATATACTTGTTTAGGTGATTTATTTTGAGAGAAGACACAGTCTGTGTACAAACCTAGCTTACAAAGCCACACATTTACCATTACCTGAATTCTGCCTCTGTCTCTTCTCAAACTGATTTTCAATTACTCTCCTACCACAAAGCTCAAAGCACAAGTAGTATCTTATTTACTGCTGGAATTTTAGAGCACATTCAAATGAGATGCCTCAGACTTTCTGCTATTATCCTCACCAAGAAATGGCTAGCAAGAAACAACAGGAGATAACACTGGCTCAGAGTGGAAATACCTGTTTGGCCCAAAGTACAACCATGTTATCAGGCAGTATTGTAATAAACAGCCACGCAAACAGACAAAGAAAACAGGACGATCATATCTGAAATATTAACTAATTGGCTGGTTCACTTATGACTGCAGCATAACGAATTACTCACATTACATTAGCTGCCAAGGAACACTACGTTTATTCAGGAAAATAGATGCTGTGGTAACAGCCACCATGAAAAGCTGGTATAAACTCTGAAGTTTATTGCTGTATTTCTATGACTGCTTAAATGATATTACAATCCATGCTGTTGTTTCAGACCCTTAGTATTACAGCATTTATTCCTTATCATTAGAAGCTTCAAACTTACCCAGCATCAGTTTTCACAAGCCTTTAAAACCAGTAATAGCTATTCTGATGGTACTACTGCTTCACATTTTACATCGTTTGTTTCTGTGAAAGCAGTTCTCTGCAGCAGTGCACTGGCAATGCTAAGAGTATTTAGCACAGTATTAAAACATCTGATGTAATATTATGGGGTCTGAGTATCCCCCAACAGCACACCAGTGAATGAAACTCAGTTCATATAAATCTGCCTTGTAAAGGGGCATTAAGAAAGCAAAGAACAGATAATTACAACTCTGCAATGGGGAATCTTTTCTTAAAAACATCTATACTTAATACAAAGAACAGGATGTATTAATTGTACCCTGTCTTCTAGTAATTAATACATTAGTGAATACTACAACAACTGTACTGTCAGTCTGTGTAGCAAAACAACCAGTTTCTTTTTATAAACTATTGTTAGTATTTAGGTTTGGCCTTTAAAATACTACTGTTACAGCAGCAAGTTCATGTCACTATAATAAAGACTATGAGCATTTCATCAGTGTAAACCAATGCCTTCAGTTGTTATCACTTAACTCTAACCTCTCACCAAAATCCAGACACAAAATTATTTCTCCACCTGAGTCTTCTGGGACATCACCAATGAAGTTATTTTAGTCTTTTATTGTTGTTTGTTGAAAAACTGAGAACTCAGAGGTTGCATTTAAGAGAACAAATAATTTCTCAGGAATCTGTTTCTAGTAACTCACTAAGGTAGAGATATTTAAATATGACTCTACCTTCAAGGGGAGAGGGAGCTTTGGAGCTACTGGAAGACAGACCTAGACTGAATTGTCATTATCCTCATCCCTTTCCCCAGCTCCCTCTCCCACCTCTGCTTCGTTCATTCCAGCAGCCACTAAGATGCTTTCCTCTAACCGTTATGTGTTAATGGCTGCTTGTGCTCCGAAAATGTATCACATTGTCTCTGCTGGTTTTGTTCTTACGAGTCTGAAGTTTGTAGTGCAGACTGGGCACAGACTTTCTAAAAACCACAGTAAAAGTCATGTTGGTCAGGCAGGTCGAGAAAACCATTCTAAAAATGCCAGAAAAATAACATGCAGCAGGGCTCTTCCCTTTGCCACAGCTTACAGAACTGCAGTCCATTGAACCACACTGTCAGAAGACAAAACCTCCTCAGCAGACACTGAGGATCGAGTAGACACTCTCTACAGCTGATCCTGTCTCAGTCACAGATAAAACAAGAGCAAGGAGGAGGGAGCATACTCTAGCTGTGGCCAGAGCGTCTCCACACCGAAGTACAGTCTGATTGCTAAGAACTAGCTGGAAAGGAAAACAGATTCCTGTCTGCTGTGGAGGAGTATTTATAGATGCCACTATAGCAGGGGTTAAATAAAAAGTGAGAGAGGCAGGAGATGGCTCATTCTGAGATATTCCAGAAATAGACTAAAGCACAACACGTGTTAAGAGAACATGAATACAAGAGTTACAAGAAACAAGAGTACACTGAGGTCCAGGATAAAATACCAACAAGAAACAAACATAATTCAACAAATATATACTCTTCAGAGTCTTAAACTACTTCCATGTTTTCTCAGTTCCATTAAAAGTGACCTATTTAGGAAAGCAAAAAAGAAACAAACCAGGAATTTTACTTCAACCCCTTAAAGACTTGTAATAGTTTTGATCAGGAAGGGTCTTACCTTTCTCTGATAAATGGCAATCCAATCTGTAGTTGCAAACCACTTGTGATTCTTTATGTCATTTACACCATTCTTGAGATTTCCATACCGTTTGGTCAAATCTACCTGGAGTAAATTTCTTAGAAGATCCTTTAGGTCTGAACTGAAGTGTGATGGGAACCTTACCTAAAATTATACACCCACAACGTTAAAAACAATATAGAAATTTGATTCTTTCCCCTGTGGAATAAAACATTGTTCACAAAAAAGGAAACACTGGGGCCATTTTCTATTCTTCCTCTAAAACCAAATCAAATAGGAATGCATGAAGAGAGAGATGATGATTGTTGCACTTCTGTTTCTGTTTCACAGGGTCTTTATCAACAGCATTAACCTGTCCATCTACCACTTTTCTGAAATGAAGGTTTCTAGATCTGATTGCACTGGTGAAAAATACTAGTTTAATGTAACAATGATATAAAAGCTAAATTTAACTGTGTGTCTCACCAACACCACATCATCTCGTGGCATTCTCAATTATTTTCTAGAACGAGATTTTTAGATTATATTATCATAGAAACACAGAATGGTTTGGGTTGGAAAAGACCTTAAAGATCATCTAGTTCCAACCCCCCTGCCATGGGCAGGGACACCTTCCACTAGACCAGGTTGCTCCAAGCCTCATCCAGCCTGGCCTTGAACACTTCCAGGGATGGGGCATCCACAGCTCCTCTGGGCAACCTGTGCCAGTGCCCCACCCCCCTCTCCGGGAAGAAATACATATATATACACACACACACACACACAGGCGCACAAAGGAGATACATATAGTTTAGCATATGTATAGCCTATGAATGTATAGGTATGATCTGAAATAACGGAATATATGAAATCATATATGAAAATTCAATTTATCACAAATAAGCACGAAGAGACAACAGTGGATGGCAGGAGAAACAACAGAATGATCACATTTTCTTGCTCTCTAGCACACTAAGGGATATTCATGAAAAATAAAAGGGAAAAGTTGGAAACACTTTTCAAAATTTTATATAACAATGAAGAGAACATCAGACATGTCGAAACTACAGGACTGCAGAAGTAAAGAAACCTACTATGAATTATGGAAACTCTTTAGAGCTTCTCAAAAGCTAGAACAGAAAATAGCTAGGCGAATTAAGCATACAGCTAAATAGTTGATAATTGTTAGATCATTTTTATCCATGCATAAAAGGGTAAAGCCACAATGTCTGTAAATTTAATAACTGCATTTTAAATTTAAAGGCAGGGAACAGAATTTTAGAATTTTGATTTCTGCTATTACTGTAACAATGTCTGTACTTAAGAAGTATACATTACAAACTTTTCCCATGTTCTTTCCAAATTGCTCACTGTCTAGTAGCCAGTAAACTGTGCATCTACTCCACACAAAAACCAGGTTCTGCAAAGACAAACAACTGCGTTTGCGAAAACACGCAAAGCCTTCGCTCACCTTGCCAGACACAATCTTTTCATAAATTTGAATGGGCTGATCTGCAAAGAATGGGGGATATCCAGCTGCCATTTCATAGATTAGCACTCCTAATGCCCACCAATCCACTGCCTTGTTGTAACCCTGGATAAAATGAGAAATACCACTGTTAGTACCTTTCTAACACAGTTTAAGATTTGCAGCATATAGCTAGGTAATACAATACATATAGCTAGGTAATACAATAAAATGCATTAAATACCACTGTTAGTACCTTTCTAACACAGTTTAAGATTTGCAGCATATAGCTAGGTAATACAGAAAGCAAATGCATTATTTCTTGTTTAACACAAAACTTACACCCTAGTTCCAACTGAAGCTCATAGATTCCAACACCAATACACTTAAAAGCTAATACAGTGATAAAGGTGAAACATCTTGTACACATTCCTGTTCTCTGAGATCTTTCATAAAGCTCAGGACTAAGACTCAGTCTTTCCTCAAAAATTTGCTATGGAGAATTTGTAGTAGACGCATTGCAATTTCTTCTGCTGCTTTAGCTGCACAAGGGCAAAAAAGCTTCAAATGATGAACATTTTCTCCCCAAATAAACATATTTTTGGTTTAAAGACCTGCAAAGGGTATTTAATTAAACCACATATTAAATGCTAATGTTAACCTTGTTATCATCATAAGCAGTTCCAAAAACTATATTTTTCCCCTGCAAAACATGAAGGGCCACAGTTGAATAGCTGTATGGTGAATAATGTGTCTTCCACGTTCAATGCCTTAGTGCAAGCACTAGACACAAACTGATCAACCAGAAACTCAGACTGCATGTTCTCTGTGTGTAAACCCAGTGGTTTGTCATGTTTGATTTCATGTAAAATGCCTTAAACCTGAAACACTGCAAGTAGTTGTTTTGTGACAACTGATACAGCCCATAGGCAATTCCAGTTACTTCTGGAGCTCCTGGTCTAGTCTGTTAACACTGCAGAATGTAACCACTCAGATCCGCTGCGGAGACTAATTAAATAAGCTAATTACATATTCTTTAAATCCCCCTTCCCCTCCCAAGTTACACGGCAAGCGTATGTAGAATGTTCTGTACAGTTATGTGAAAATCCCTGCTCTGGAGTAAGATTTAGCACACTACAAAAATATTTACGATGCAGCGACTGCATTTTGTGTGATTCATAAAGAGTTGACTAGTCAAGATTTGATCTTGGGAAGTGTCAGTAATTGATTATCCCTCAGAGTTTAATAACTGGGTGGTAAGTTTTAACTGCATCAAATGCATGGCTGAAAAACAAGACAAAGTACCTTGCTGAGAATTATTTCGGGCGCCAGGTATTCTGGAGTCCCACATAACGTCCAAGTTCTTCCTTTTACTCTTTTTGCAAAGCCAAAGTCCGTGACCTGACATCAGAAGAAAGGAATTGACTGTAAGTGCACTTCTACATAGAAATTTAAAATTAAGTACCTCTGAAATATTTTGGAAAGCTATTTTATACAGAGGAAAAAACTGATTCTCAGATCACACAGTATCATATACTCAGATGTACCTTTAATAGCCAGTTCTTCAGATACTTCTCATTTAGGTAGATAGAAGGTTTCTCATGATAAAATTAATAAATAACACAAAATAGGTATTCTTTCCCTCACACAAGCTTCTATTTATAATCTCAAAAATCAGTGGGATTTCATAATTATAAACAGCTTTTTAATCTTCCACATGTACTGCAATTCCATTAATTATTTTTTCTTATACTTTTCACATCAGATTGTTTATAATGCTGAAAGTTTACAGAACGGAATATGAACAAGATATTTATCTTTTCCTTTAGTTAACAAATACATGAATCACAAAAAGGGTCAAGATATCCACCAGTCATGTAAATTTAGAAGTTTCCTTCATAAGCGTATAAAAGTTGTATGTAAAATTAGTGTGGGAATAAAACTATGTAAAAGAGGTCTTTCAGCTTCTGAGTATCTTTGAAAGCATCTCCAGAGTCAAGCTTGTTTATGTGAGGACTGGGAGGGAAAATGGAGCAGTAGCTGTATTCACAAACGGCAAGTTCTTGGCCATTATAAATTCTTCATTCCACTCGTCATGTTTTCTGCATTAAGTTTTCAGAACTCTATGCGCTATCAGACACTGATTTTTCCTGGATCATATTGTGGAAATGTTGTGGAAGCCAGGGAGTTAGATGTGAAATTCTGGGATCAGTTTCAAGCTATCAAGTCTTGTTTGCAGATCCATTTCTTTTGCTTTCTCCCTCTTGGTATCATTTTCAAACCATTCCCTGAGAAAAGACACTGTACCACAATGATGATAATTGCTAAATATACAATAACATGTGCTGGTGTTTCTGATACACAGTGTCACAATTAAACAACTCATACTCTGAACTATCAAGGCAGCTTTCGCTTCAGTTTTGGTAGAAACAAGAGCAATCACAACTGGAACCAAATGGAGAGGGTAAGGTGCTGACTAGACAGACTTGCTTCAGTCAGCGAAGAATCATTTCCGTGTTTGTGAAGGCGTGTCAACCTACGTGAAGAATGCCCTGCAGACATGGGACAAACAGCCATGGCTTTAAAATTCAAAAAGAAAACTAACAGAGTTTCTAAACAATTTAGTTGGAGCTGCAGCCTCAGCATATGAACACAAACTCCCCTCTCTGTTCAGAGGTCAGAGTGAACCAACCTCGTATGGGAAGAGTGACTGCTGGGCCGGTTACCATCTGCAGGCTGATCGCCATCACAAAAACATACTGTTGCCCATAGTCACCGTCCTGGAGTAAGCTGTTCACAGGCTTACGTTAACGGTGCTCCCCAACCACATTAATAAAAATTTTATGTCTCTTCTCCCTACGGTGTTATTCTCCATGCAAAATCATTTTACAGTTTTAAATTACAAGAGATGCGAATCCCTTCCACTTGTCTCAAACATTTTTATTTTGCAGTTTCCTGTTAGATTCTGCGATGGCCACAGGTGACACAACGAGGAAAGAAGAGCTTCTACAGTTTACGGACTGCAAAGCATTGCAGAGTGCTTGCTGCTGTACGCCGCCTTTCCATTTGCCATTTAGGTCAAAAACATGACTGATAAAAGGAAGACAAGAAGGCACCACGAGAGGCTGTTGTAAAACCAAAGTTGGCATTTGCAGCACTGCAATTCTGACCTGATCTCAACTCGGATCTTACTCCAGATGAGCTGAAAAGGTTAGGACCCTCCCAGGGTGGGATTCATCTGACTGAAATTAAGTACTACACTGTCGGTGTTGACATCTAAGCTGGCTATCCTAAACTGCTTATACAGACAAAGCAGAGAACCAGATGTTTTAGGGCACCTTTCGTCTTGTTCTAGGGCAGACATACAAAATAGGTCAGATGAACAGAGCCATGTAATCACCTACTTCTCACCACAGACCCCAAGGGAAATTTTGACAACCCGCTCAACTGCAGACAGCTCCCATTGTGCATACTTAATTTTAGTCAGAGGAAGTACAATCCAATGGTTTCAACCGTTACTAAGCAGTAGGGCATTTTACTGCTCCCTGAATGCATGCTGACATGCCAACCACCTTCAGACCATTTATTCTGAACACATTTGCCAGAATTACCTAGTCCTACACTGTAAGACAAGACTCCACTCCCTAAATACATGAAGAATATCATACCTGGATGTATCCTTGCTGATCAATTAAAAGATTTTCAGGCTTTAGATCTCTGTAGATGAGGTCTAACGAATGGAGGTACTCAAATGTTAGCACTATCTGAGCTGCATAAAACCGTGCATGTGGTTCACTGTGAAGAATTAAAAGAATATTAAGTACCCCAATGCTACGCTAGGATGCTGAAAAAACCATGTAACTGCCACGTATAGACAAATTATCTTTTAACTGTTTCTTTTACTGTGTAATAAGGAAAAAAGCAAACAGCAAACATTTTAGAATTGATACACTCATTTCCTAAATTTAATTTAAGTCTTGCAATTAAAATACACAAGCAAATGAAGATGAATGTATCCCACAATACAGAGCTTAGACTTTAAATTTTACTTCTAGAAACTGTCATCAATTTTGGTGACAGTACACAAAGGAATTCCAAGATTCTACTGTGCATAGGTCACAAATGCCCGCATTAACTAACTGAAAAGTAAGAAATAATTAGAAATCTTTCATTGCCTGACTAGTTTAAGTCCACTGCAAGAAGAGTAAATTAAATGCACTCACCCCTTCAGAATTTTTTCTTCAATATTAACAAATTTTATGAAACGTACTTCCCAAATTAGAGACATAAGCCTTTTTAAAGGTATAATGTCATTAATATTCTTACCTGAACCTTCCAATTCTTCTTAGATGTGAAAACATTTCACCACCAGGAACATACTCCATTACCATGTATAAATTAGAATTGTCCTAAGGAAGCAAGTAAACACAAATACGTATCAGGGATGCTATAGTCTATGTAATTCCTAGATAAAGTATATTTTCTTAAAGAAGGAAAATGAAAAATTGTGGCCATTCAATGACCTTAACAAATATAAAGCAACACAGGTAGAAGTTCTCAAAAAAAAGTGCAGACATGTGACAAAAGGAGCATCATACATCTCAAGAAATCTATTTTGAAGCTATTAGTGAGTTCCTGACACAGAACAATGTGTAAATGACTTGAAGAACTTGCACTCTTACAAGTTCAGAATTGACAGCCTGAGGTGTTCTTGTCCCTAGCAACCCCAGCCCCAAACCTCAAAACTGTAAAAATTAAGGTAGAACATGTTTGGTCACTTTAAATGGTATCTAAAAAAAAAAAAAAAAAAAAAGTAAGTATTAGGGGACACATATCACTCTATAAATTAGGAAAATACTCACTTTCTTTACAGACCGATTTGAACATACTGTCATGAAATCAGAAGCTAACCTCACAGTTAGAAGCTTTCCTTCACTGTTAAGATTATCACCAAGACCTGCCTTGGGTATAAATCTCAAGCAAAAAATCTGCAGAACAACTACAGATTTACCATGCCATATACTGGTACAGAAATACATCCTCTGGTTTCTCTCAAAGACATCATGATGCCTAAAAGCTCCCTGCTGTACAAAATCTAGTTTCATTCTGAGACAAGGCAAGATATAAAAAAAAAAAAAAAAAAAAAAAAAAAATCTATTTGGAGACATCCTTTCAATCATCACCTGGTGAACTGGGATTTGTGCAAGTGTGCACACAAGAGCAGGAACCTCAAGACCTGGCAACAGTGCCAAGTGAAGCATCTTTCAGACCAAAAATACATAAACCTATGGTACCATAAAAGTTAAATCTTTTCATATCTGAAGTTTGGAAACCCAAACAACTACTTTCAAAATAATGATTACCTTAAAAGAATACTCCAGTTTTACAAGGAAAGGAAAGTTCACCGCTTGCAATATTCTCTTCTCATTCAGTGTGTGTTCTATTTGCTTCAGTTTGACGACCTAGAAGAGAAAAAACGATGTTCAGTTTCAGTATGATATTTCACAGTTGTTGATAAATTTTTCAGTGTAAACCTATTAGTGAAAGGAAGCTTGTAACTTTACAGATAATGAAAAACCTTACGGATTACTAGTACAGTAACAGTGCCAAGACAGGATTAGAAAGTCTAACAACATTTTGAAGAGTAATACTCATGCAATACTGTTTGCAGATAATCTAGAAATAGTGTTTCTTACTATATGCTGAGTATAGGAATCAACCAGGAAGACACTTCTCTACATTTTCATAAGAAACACTTGCATTTGTAATGGAGATACTTCTGCGGCAAAATGACAGTTCAATTAAATCCATTTGATCTTTGGACCCTTAGCTAAGAAAGGCAGGAAACTGTGTCAGACACATTTAATTATGAATTTTGTTACGCGTGAGCAGCAGTAAACTGACTTATTTTATATAGCTCACACATTAGTAAGGAGAATACAAGTTCAAAATTTCCATTCTTATAAACAACAGTTACATCTGCCAGACTTTTCAATGGCTTTTGCTTTTCTGCTTAGCAAACCACTTAAAAAAGTATTAAAAAAATGAACGCTACCTTCTCAGAATCCATTACAGTGTTACACTGCTAACACGGCAGCAAGTGGCACATTTCCGATCATTGCTCTTTCTCAATAATTAACAATTGCTTTCCTTGTGTTAAACCCCAACACTGCATAATAAATTCTATCCATTTTACTTAATCCCTATTGCACAATTTATCTATGTCTTATTTTGAAAACGGCATGATTTCCAAGCAAAGTCACCTCCCCCCACATAGGGAACATGGAGCAAATGTACAGGAGTGACCAAAACAAGTCTGCTTTTACATGTTTGGAAATCAAATTAAACTGCTGTAAAACAACAGACAAGCAAGATATTCCTAACCTGATTGAAACTGTGTTTAAATTTAACTTTCAGATGCAAAAGATAGTACCTAGAAAAAACCACTACTGCTTTGAACTACATGTCATACAAAAGAAAATGGCGAGTTAAAAATATTAAATCCCTTTTGGATTCCAGATCTTCAGAGATCAAATAAAAATGTTGCTCAAATCAGCTCATTTGTGGGAAGTGTCCCTTTCATCCCTAAAAAGCTATGGTGCTGGAATTATGTTGGCCATCAAAGCAAATGAGCTAAGGCTTTAGTCTGATAATGTGAAGCACTCAACCGCAATACTACACAAGACTTCACCACCCTTCCTGCATCTTCTTTTTGTTAGATACTGGAGGGTGATGGCAGCAATGCCACAGGCTGAAGCTGCTCTTTAACACTTTGTAATATCAAACTAGAGCCTCAGATAACACTGCTTTGCTCACACTTCAGCTCAACTCAGGGCAAGTCCAATGACAGCTTCCTGTCGATCAGATGGTATCTGGTAACGCCAGATTCTCCAACAGCTTGCTTGTCTCTGAGCTTTGGTTAACAATATTTTCTTTCCAAAAACAATTACCCAGTGCAACTACTCGAGCAGTGTTGTGTTACAGCCTGCCTAAATCAAGTCAGACAAAGAAAGGAATCACAAACCTATGCACAAAACTACTGGTTACATCAACATGTGTTTTTTTTTCTTCTCCTGGTGAACCATGCATAAGACCGGATAACAAAGGGACACACAATATACTTTCTCTTGTTTCAAGCAAAATGTAAATGACAATTATAGGCAGCCTGCACGTTGTCTTATTTCAGACATCTGTATGTTTTTTTTACAATATACAAGCAATAGAAATTTGTTCTCCCTAAACTATCTCCTATTTTTGATGAATTAATAGAAGTTACTAATATAGCACTAATAGATTCTAATAGAACAGATAAATATATAATTACATATGCTAAGTTGCATTGAAAAAGCATGTATTTCATACAGCAACACTTCAGACTTCTTATTATAGACAAAGCTATTTAATTTTCTAGTAGAAGACTTGATATCTGCATGCAAACATCCTTAATCATGTTAATCTTTACAATGGCAGTGGACTTGTAGTAAAAGTATATGAATGTTTGCTTTCATAAAATAATTTTATAGCTATAGCTTTCCCATTAAAGACAGAGATAGCAATGGGTTTAACTAGCCTTTTTTGTTTTTTAAATCTTGACTATTTTTATGGAAGCTTTCTGAAGTCAGATGTAATCTCCTAAATTGCTCACCGACAAGGGCTAAGCCATTCATGAAAAAGGGTTCAATGAAAACACAGTTGAAGAAAACTGAAATTTGACGATGGGTTCTCTGTGTAGCAGCGGGATGTTCATCATGCCTTGTGTTATAGCAAAGTTCCCCTCAGCATTCCACCAGACATACTTGGATAACGATGGGTGACATGGGTGGAAATGGTCTGGGCTGCCTTTCAGGTGTACTATGTTGGAATACCTTTTTAATTAAATTGGATATTTTTTCAAATAAAAGTTAGAAACCATTGTTATAGAAAAATGCTGAAGTTGCAAAAATTTGAGCTTTTACAACTAAAAAAACATTTCCAGAACTGACCTTGAAAGGTAAGTTACTTCAGTTTCTTCTTGTCTGACCATTATAAAGCAGTCTTTAATTAAATGACACATTGCTCATGGTCTCGGACCCTGCATCACATGTAAAGAATACTGGAACTGCAACTCAGGGAAAACGGTTTGATTATGTCACTGCTGTAGTTTCATTATATTAAATTACTGAGGAATGTAATGCCTAAATGCAAGAGTCCACACTGAGGCAATGCTGACTTTCATGTTCTCCTTTGCCGATTATTGACAGATTAATATTTTCTTAATATGATTTTTGTTATATGGCAGCAAAGTCACATATAGCGCCTTACAAAGTAAGATGATCTTTTGAGGACCTTAGAATCTACTCATCTAAGTAACACCCTTCTAAAAAACTTGCCAAAACCATTAAAAACTAATTGTATTGAGAAATTTCTTAGAAATACTTCTTCATATTCTGGAATTCTGTTTCATTTAAAATTTAAACTTTTATCAAATGACACTGCTTACTCAACCTAGGAGTACTAAGCTGTTAAAAAAAAAAATCAGGCTGAAGTAACAATACAGATTCAGACTACAGCATTTAAGTTTTCAACTCAGAAAACATCTGTTCTGAGAGCGAGATTACTGTTCTATGTATGCAGTTACTAGAGATGCAACAGATTATTACATAATTGTGCATACAAAAAATAGTACCTCATGGGATAAAGAATGGAAAAGAAATTATTTGTGCAAACAAGTTGTTAAATGATGGTTCACAAATGAAAATTTTAAGAATTTCTGATCCAAAAAGTCTTCCAGAATTTTGAGTTACCCTGTAAAAGTGTATTTATTTGACTACAGCACTATATTTGGCTTTAGATAAAGAATATATAGGCCACCTTACAAAAGCTAAGCAAAGAGTATCACTGATAACATTTCATTAATGCCTTGAACACTACTTAGAGTCTCTTTACCCTGCCATTATTATTGGTTGTTGTAAGAATTCTACACAATCCTAACAGCTAATCTGCTGGCTAAAAAACCAACAAAGTCAAGTGTTTAAAGTAACATCAGTACCTAAGTGTGACATGGAAAAGCACAGCAAGTACACCACAGTTCACTCACAGTTCCCAGATCTTTGTCTCTATCAAACTCTTTTGTACCACAAGAAACCGCTATCAATTACACCAACCTTCTGTTTGTCCAGTATCTTCATCGCATAATACTGTTCTGTGGATTTGTGTTTCACCATCATAACTCTCCCGAATGATCCTGTTCCAAGGGTTTTTTGCCTCTCAAAATCATCTAGGCCAGCAGTATTCTACATGTAAAAGGATTTAATGACATTATTTACAATCTAATATCCAAAGACAATTCTGAATTAATTTATAAAAGAAAATTGAGTAAAATTACATTTATCAAAGACAACTATAGCCAACTACGCTGCTGTTATAATTTCACGCCTGTCAAATTTTAATAAGAGATTTTACATTGCACTCATTAAAACAGAAAAAGACTTAATTGAATTGTACCAACATTCCTATAATTTGTCCATACAGATGACACGTGCTTACTAAGAAATATTTAGCAGTAAACAGATCATGAATTGAACATGCAGATAAACAACCCCCTCATGTTTCACAAACAAAAGCATTGTAACATGCAAAAAACCCCAAACTCCAGAGACAGTTCAACAGGAGAGTTGTCTGGAGAGTGTATCACAGAGTAAATTTTCTCAGACAGTCATTACCATAGCATTTCAAATGCTGTGTTAAAACCAACAATGACCCTTACCCAAAACCCCAAACTCCCAGGTTCAACTCCTTAACCTGTCCCCAAGCCCCAAGCAGTAGACTTAATACTCCTAATTCCCCTCAACACTATAGGGCAAATTATTAACAGGCTAAATTACAGATATGCCAATACTTAGTGTTATGAAAAGCCAGCTTTTTATAAGCCAATAGATTTTGAATCTTGCCATGTTGATGGTGAACAGCACTCTCAGCAAGAGAAAGCTGCTGTTCAGCACAAGCATTTCATCAGCTTCAATCTGGAGAAGACCCGCGAGTCTTTGCTGATGAACTTCAATGACAAGACTGACACGAAACATGGAAACTCCTTTAAAAATCGCATTAAAAACTTATTTCTGTTTTCTGCGCTGCTCATTACAGACTGATAACACACCAATAACGTTATTGAATGCTTAAATGACTGATACCTGAGGGGGGCTTTCCCATTTTCTTAAAAAGTCTTCTTTGGCTTTGGCTAGGAACTCTTTCACTGAAAACACACAAAAAAAGGACATATTAACGTAATTTATCATGGATGCAATAGAGATGCTTTGTTAACAAAACACACAAACTTCATTATCAACTTTGTTCTTCAGCATGTAATATGCTATTTTCACCATGTATGAAAGCAAGCACCGATGCCTCTATAAGTTCTACAGTATCTCCACATGACCACTAAGCTTGGAGTAACTATATTATTCTACACAAATCACTTTAACTACACCAGCTCTAAAAATTCACAATACTGTATATGCAAGCAGGCTTTAAGGTGATGCAAGATACCCTTAATTCATCTGGGAAAAACAACCACCAACACCTGCAATTTATAAACAGCCATTCTACAAGGTTAGACTTTTTAATCTAGTTTTGTTAAATAAAAAATTACGTTTTCTTTCAACTGATTGAACTTAATGTCAATCTCATGGCTTCCCCCCTCCCCATCACCTTTTTTAAAGGCTGTTTGCAAGCTCAAGTACCAAATGGACAGCATTACTGCAAGCAAAGACAAAGCACAGGGCTACAAAGACACCGCACATTAGGCATGCCCACAGTCAGAGAATGTGTATTTTTATATATTGATTTTCCACTGAAATTGAAGGAATTGAATGATAGCAAAGTTCTGGGTGACTATTTAAAATGTGCACCAATGTATTTTGTTCAGATCACCTTTCAGCTGTCCTATTTTTAAATCCCAATTATCAGCCAGATCAATGCAGATTGCTAAATGCAGTCACAAGCAAGAGGTGTGTCAGGCATTGTTGTGGTCCTGAAAGAGTCACAGAATCAAGAAGAAAATACCATACTGTTTGTGTGTTCTCTGAATCATTCCGCATAATATGACACTGATAACAGTGGATTTTCTGTACTGTGATGTTCCGCCACAAGCGATTTCTAAAAATACTCAGCAATGTGCCAAGATTATTCTGGTCAATAGCTAGAAATATTCAGTTGCTAAAACCGATTTTACCTTCTAATGGTCATAAAAAATGGGTTTATAAGCGGTTGTAAACGGTCATCTGATGAATCAGAACTTTTCTGTACATTTCTTTTCAGAGAATACTAGTGTCTACACAGAGAACTTCTCAAAAACTATCCTTTGACTCTTCTATGACTGGTACAGTTACAGCAGCAGTAAAAGCAGTGGCAGTCCTGGAAAGGGTTTGTCATTAATTTTTTTGTGTTCCCTTTTTCTCCCCCCACCAAGTGTGCTATGGAACTCGATTGTCACAGAATACTCAAGGTGGGGTTGTGGCTCCCACTGTCTCTGGCTCTGATGGAGCAGCAGCAATATAATGGGAATTTCAGAGTTGTCCAAAGTTCTGGCAGACCTCAAGGTTAGAGAAGCGTCTCAAGCGTGATATCCACTTGGCAATTTTAATTTAAGAGAACCAAGCAATATCCGTGAGGAGCAAGCTATTTATTACCTTAAACTTATGGTGGAGTAAGGAAAACAACTATTTTAAATTGGCATTAAAACTCATTGAGAGTTAAAAACACTTTAGTGGGCAATCAGTAAAATGTTTGACATATTTATCCGCTGTGGGGAAAATATTTTCATTGTTTTTAAATTATGGGGGTTACTCATGTAATGACTTTTAATGATCCTAATTTGAGAAAAGGACAGGATTTCCTGGGGCATGAAATAACTTTAGCACAAAAAAGGGAAGCTAACAATGTCCAAATTCATGCCTTGTGATCCTTCTTCCAGCAGGAGAACAGAGATAACCTGAAGTGATGACTACTGATAAAGTTTTCAAAACATCAATTTATGTCAAAGTGTCATGACCATTATTTTCTATTAATGACAAGAAAAAACCCAAGATGAGCAGTAAGATTACCAAAAAGCTGAGCCTTCAAACTGAAGTGGCTGTATCTTAGAAATAAATGTTCAACTTAAGACTACGTAGCATGACCAAAACCATGAAATTATTGGTCTCATTTTTTCATATTATTGTATTACGTCTTGAATATCCCTCATGCTATCTCCACTGTTCATATAAATAATTAAGTTTCCACATAATTTACACTGAAATATAATTATTCAGTATCTGTAAAAATATACAATGACATTTACATGGTCATCTTTGTCTCTAGGGAAGAAAGAATGCTGTTTAGGAAAAAAATAGGATCTAGCTGGATACACTCAGATTATGGAAGCATCACAAAAATATCTCATTTCTACAACATCAAGCCACAAGCCCTCTTTCAACAGAACTTCTACCTTATTCTACTTCTAGTTTCACTTTACTTTTCATGGAAAGCAGCACTGAACATGTATTTTTAAAACAAAGCTACCTGATGGCACTCATTTTTCTTAAGAGCGTTATCTTTTAAAATTGGTATCATATTCTGTGGTGGTTTTTTAGAATTACATTTTCTTTCTCATGAGAAAGTGGGTCAAATTGTGCCTGGTTCTCAATTTCAGAGCTCACCTGGGCTCCTACACCACAACACAATTCAGCAGGTGATTTCAAATAGAATTTGGGCAATGTAAGTGCATACACTTCAGCCACTTGTGAAAACAGGACTTGGAGTTTGAAACAGGATAGGTACTTTTGAAAATTGTATCTCAACCACAAAAGGCTAGCTCTTGATGCAGGAGAACACACTTCATTTCTACTTCTGAAGTGCAGAATCGAAATTTGTGCCAACTGGATAGTGGTGGCCATTGGTATTATTGCGATTATGCAAACAAATAGTTTATTAGATGATGACTTAGAAGTTTTTCTCAAGTGCACATTTTTAGCCACTTTACATTGTTACAGTGTGACTCTTGTTTGCTTTTCTAGACCTTAAACTGTTCCTAGCATCTGTGACTCTGGGCACTAATGAAGGAATGAGCATACCAAAAGTCTCTATAGGTTCCCCAAGGGTTTGCAGGAACATTCACCCACACAGATGAGATGATGAAGAGAGGTAAGAAAGAGAAGAAGAAAAAAAAAAGTTTTATGCATTTCCACAACAAACACATAGAAAACACAAATACATTCCACCACTTCCCCTCCCCACTCAAGAACAGACCCTGTAATAAACCAGCCCTTTCCCACACAGACAGAATGACTCATGCTAAATCACAGAATGTTTGAGCAAAGAAAAGAGGACAAAAACCCCAAAGGCAGCTAAATTCAGTATGAAAAAAGATGATGCATCACAGAAATAAGCACAGCTTACAAAACTTCAGGAGATCAAGTTGGCATCTTTAATAATTAATCTATTCCAAGGCGCACACACATCCAAGGAACTGTTGCTAACAAAATTGTATCTATCTTTATTGCAGCATGCTGGATCACAATAAAACCTGCAATCGGGTGATCTTCCCACTACTTAGCACTTTGTTCCAAAAGACAGCATGTGGGAACTGTGTGGCATGTGGCGGAAAGCACAGAAGAACCAAGCAGTCTCAAAAAAAAAAAATAAAATTCACAAGCAAATTTCAGTCCTGTTACCCAACAACAGCAACACAACCCCTTGAAAAGTCGAACTGCACAGCTGAAGCCGCTGTATGCATTCCGGTTTGGCTACGGGAATCCTGTGCGGTCACTGTGCAAGCATGATGTAATTCTGTAAGGCTGTCAAAACCCAAAAGAACCCAGGAAGGAGATGTGGATGCACAGTTCCTGTAAGCCCTGAGGAGCAAGGATTGCTCGCGGGCAGCGCAGTGAAGTTGAGGATGCAAGGAGCCTGTGCACAGAGCAGCAAGCAGAGCCTATTCAGACCGGTTTCACTGGTACAGCAGAAGCTGAAAGTGGCTGAAGCCAACGGAGGAAAAGCTGCTCAAGAAAGGGAGGTGCTGGAAGGAGAGAGCAAAGCACTGGTGTGATGAGCACCACAGCAGTGGTGAAAACAAGTGGAAGGGTCAGGAAGAACACCAGCTGGAACTGGGGACAATACACAAGCAGTTCCAAGATCAGGTAGCGCCAAAACACAGCGCAAACCTAGCTCTTCATGACCAGCACGAGCAATCGTTGGCAGGAGAAGCAAGTTTTATGCAATGCAACCTCCCCAAACACGCAGTATCCGGGGAGATTCAGAAAAAGGTAGGAAGAAATGGGGTAATGTCCAAGGAGTTACAACCGAAAGAGTTGAAGCAGTTTTGTAACTTCTGCCTGCTTCGGTTCAAACCCCGGTGAGAAGAAATGGTACCGGTGCATACGCAGCTGGACAAGACACGAGCTATCCCCTTGCGCATGGCAGATGGCACGAGACCAGGCCTGCAGAGATCTGTACTCAGAACCAAGGCAACACGGTGATAAGCAGGAAAGTCTGCTGGAAGAGACTTCTATGGGAAGAGGATCTCAAGATCAAAAGGTTCCTAAATGATAATGGCACACAAGGAGGTAGTAAAAAAACCAAACCCAAACAAATTAAAAAACCTTACCACACACAGACCCAGAAAACGAACCCTGAACCCACCTGCAAACAGCAGGAGATTTGTTACCTAACAGTATATTGACACAGGGCACAATACTGGTTGGTTTTATCGATTAACTTTTCATCTGAACGTTAGCAAACTTATAAAAGAAGTTGTTAACAAATGGTATGTAACTACTATACAGAGTACTCGGGCCTAAACCACCGCTTCAGAGTGAGTGAGTCAGAGGAAATCTCCTGGAAAAAATTAGAATGTTTAGGACCTCTCCGTTGCAGGGGTGCAAGGAAAGCAGAGGGAAAGGCTCCACTTGTGGATGGAGCACTCCTGAAGAGTCACCATGAATTACTTTGCCTTTCTCCCACCTCCCACATGCACTGCATTTGTTATTCCCAAGCACATCTCCCACAGGAGCCAGCAAGCCAGTTCTTTTTTTTTTTTTTTCTTTCCAAAAAAGTATTTGGATAGGATTCATGGCAAGAAAGCAAGAACTAAACTGATTAAGACTAAACACTGGGCACCACTACAAACCCCCATCTGCTGTGCTAAATGCCAATCTCTGCTTGGTATTTAAAATGCCCTTTTTCAAATTACAATTCAATTTCTGTTCCAAAACTATAACACAATCACAATTGCTTGGAATTAAACAGGCTATTGAATTAAATCTCCAAACTTCATTTAATAGAAAAATACACGCGTATGAAGATATTCTGGTAAATATATGCATATATTTCATTTTTATAAAAACAACATTTATACCCTTAAACATTATCGGGTTGTGAAGAGATGCCTCAGTGAATCCCGTGGTTACGGTACCACATTCCAGAAGCAAGCGAGAAGTCTATGATTCAAGTTCTACTTGAATCTTGCACCATTAGCCTGTTTTCTGAAATATCTTTAGATTTCTCTTTTAATTAGCAGAAAAAATACCGCAAGGCTTACAGCAAGATTTTTTTACCCTGGCAAGTCTTTGAAAATAAACACAACTAAGTGTCAATACACTCAAAGGAAGTAGCGTGAGCACCAGTTAACATTTTAGTAGCTAGGAAACTCTTCAAAACACAAATTAAAATGGTATAATTGAAACAGACAGTCAATAAGAACAAAATGCTTTGTTTCTCACAACATACAAAACAGTTCTTAACTAATTCACTGGAATACAAAACCTAGAAGTTTTTAGTAAAGGAAGGATAACATAATTATTAACTGCATATGTTTGCTATTAAAATGGAAGTGCTATTAATTAACTGCATGCTTTAAACACTTCTGTAGAATACTGGGAAGGACCAGTACGAAGCGGAGAAGAGAAGCGCATGAAAAACCACAAAGAAAAAGGGAGAGGAACAGGAAAATGAGTAAATTAAGAGCAATTACAGCTGCAGTGCCTGAAGACTAGAAGACAGCACTAGAACCTGATTTTTGGCGGAGCACATTCAGGAATTATTTACAATGTGCAGCAATTGTAAAAGACAAATTGTTCTCATCCATTACAACTCAAAATCTGGAAAGCAGGCAAAATCTTGTTTGAATCCTGTCTGTAGTTTTGAAGTATTGTGTCAGTCTTATAAAAGAAAGTTTCCAACAGCTAAGAGCTCTATAAAGAGACCATTTTTTTCCCCTTAATTTTCAGCAATACTTGCTATAACTTTCAGCTGAAATCTTAGTAAATTTTCACCTCTTCACTTGGCCGGCCAGACAGCAACAGCCTGCATAAGAGATGTCACAGATTTAGTCAGACAAACCAAAACAGGAACTGGGTTTGCAGCTATCAGAGATAATACCCCTCCGTTGAATTTTGAGCAGTAGATTCTCGACTGCACACAACTGCCACAGTCAGACTGACTTTCTTCTTCCTCCTTCAATTTTTTTAAGAGGTAATAGACTGAAAATTAGATCTGAAAATAAAAGTGATTCTTTCTCCCATTTTCCTTTTCTTGAATCATAAAGTACTGGTCCAAACAGAGGCAGTGAACCCTGCTGATGGCAAAAGTACAACATAACAGAGGCCACTCCAGGGGGACAGTACCAAACCCAACTAACACCAAGTCACTCAAAATGTGAATTCCCGAAATTTTGTTTAAAAAACCCTAAATGTATAAAGTAAGTCAGTGAGTTTCTTCAGTCACAAACACAATCAAATCCTGTACTAGCTCTGCTCGGAGTAGTACATGAGAATATGCCTCAATTCAATAATTTTCCACCAAAAAAATATAGATGAGAATACAACTCTTCTTTTTAATCTAAAAGAGAATCCAGACCCAATGCTCATCAAAATTTATAAATTATTTTAATACATTTCCTTTAGAAAAGTGACTCCCTCAAGACACACACAGATAAATGCTACATTTTCCAGTTACACCAGAAGTCTCTCTTCCTCTCTGCCAAAAAAACCCAAACAAAGCAACCAAAGCCTCTGAACCAAGCTGGGATTTACTTTCAATTTCTAAATTAACGATTATATGCACGACTTCCTCAATGCAAACAAGCAGAACAGCTTCATCTGAATATGCAAGCACGAGACATGACCTGAAGTCTCCTGCAGATTCCTGGTGAGCAAGAGGTGTTCCCTCCCTTCCTTTTGGTCCTTCAGGGTGGCACCTCTCTTTCCTGCCCAAGCTTTCCTCTCAGATTAAACCATTATTAGCAACCTTTTGTTGCCTGATTAGAGTTGGGATTTTTTGTTCCAGTTTTCTAAAACTGGCCAGTTAGAACTGGCATCCAGTTAGTCCTGGAATATGTTAAAACTAAGCTTTGGCCTAAGGAAAGGAGTCTCTCTCATACCTTCTTCCTGCCCCTTGAAGTGGTCATTGAAAGGAATTATTCCAGACTGCTGGAGACACCACTTTCATAAATCTGCTTCCTCTCCTGCAACAAACGACACGCTTTGAGGCCTACAAGTCCAAGAAACAGCAGTTTGGTTTGTTACGTATACCAGTAGGGGCTGGTATAAATACAAACACCCCAGTCCTGTCCTTCCACAGACCATGCCTCTCTATCATGACCTTCCTTGAAAGAGCAAAAGCATCTTTGTGGCTGACTGCCAAGCCAGGTCAGGGAATTAGGCCAGATTAAAACGTAATGGACAGAAGTCTAGGGAGAAGAAGGGAAGCTAATTTTAATGTAAAAGAGCTCCCAGTTCTTTTGCACATGAACGCTCCTCCTGGGGTGAGGGAGGGACAGGTGGGGTGGAAATGGGCAAGTAAGTGGGGCAGATAGAACTGCTCCTTTTCTGAAGGAATGCCAGTTTGTGCTAGGGTAAAATGACCATGAAAGTACAGCATCGAACCACTGAACAGGCTTCGGAGCAATAATTCCAATTTTAAGGTAGTCATCTTCAATTATTCTATTAGATAAGTTAATTCCATTAACAAAATTTTAAATTAATAGAAGTCTAATGCAATTACTTCCAAATGAAGTAGTTATCACCCTACATATAAAATTAGTTCATACATAAAAAGTTACATGAAGTGTTAACATGCAAGTTCCTCAATTATCATACACTGACATGCTTTGTGAGCAATTTAGGAATCAAGCTTCTCCTGTGCAGTACCACCCTCTATAGTTGTAGCTGAACCTTATCCCACAAGGCATCTAAAATGTTGTAACTACCACAAGACCTACAGTGTAAAAGACTGCCTTCCTGTGTGAAATAGAACAGCTATTACTTTACAAAGAAAATTGAAAACTCTGTGAAGACTGTGAAAATTCAAACACTTCTGTTTCCGCAATGCATATATTTCCATGGTTACCATGTGAAGGAGGAAAAAAAAAAAAGAATTACATTTTAAGAATGAATTCCAAGAACAAAATTTTCTAGGGCACTACTACAAAATACCTTGTAAGCCTATCACATTCTTGAGCAATGGTTGTTAGCAAATTCTAGTAGCTGAACGCAAATAGAGACAATAATCAGATTTTCTCTTACAGTCAAAACCACGTACCAAGCAAGATGTTTACAGCATCTGCTGCCGTTTTCCTTTAGATAAGGTATCCACTCCTCTGCACTGGGAGATGCTGGGTAACTGCCTCGCACCAACTTTCCTCTCTGTATGACTGCCCCACCGTCCCCCTTTCTAAAAGCTCAGTGGCTGAAGAGGACAACATATTACTGGGCAGCTATCAGTGACAGTATGTTTTACGGTTAGACTATTAGAAACAGTAAGCGTAATCTGCAGGTAGGTGATCTGATATGCACACTGACTAATAAATTCCCTGCAAGCAGGCAGTGCCTCTCATATTACTAGATACACTCGCACACAAACACCATTTTCTCCAGAAGTAACCCAAGTTTTACTAAACTCATATCTTCTTTATACTGCAAACTAAACAACGGCAGGGCTGTTCACTGTATGGATGCATGTTGAAAAGATCAATCTTGCAACGCTTTTTCTTTTTTCAAACATTTCAGGCAAGGCATCAAAATAATAGTAGATACGCCAATCTTGGTTTAACTGCACTCATGTTTCTTGCTCCAGTCCTCACATTAATAAAACTACACAAATTCTCATGTAATTCTCACATATTCCACCGTGCTGGAATCAGTAAGACACATCTTCACGGCTGTCAGGGTAAATCAGCAAAACAGCTCTTCAACTCTTTGCAAGATTTGAGTTTCTGACACATTGCTAT